GTGTGTGTGTGTGTGTGTGTCACATTGTAATTTTAATTCAATTTAATTGTTTAGTTTTATCAAATGTTTACATATACATATTTGTGTATGCATATCAAATTAATTGAATCATTATTAAATCAAATTTTTTTATGCGCTCAAATCTAAAATCTTAGAAAATGATGTAATATATTTGATCGAAGTGAATTGAATTGAATCATAATTAAATCAATTTTTTTTATGTGCCTAAATCTAAAATCTTAGAAAATGATGTAATATATTTGAACTTAGATAATTGGTTAAAAATACATATGTATGTCTTAGTAATTGAATTCGGAAAAATATTGATTCGGTAAGTTTAGTGAGTCATTGTAGAAGGAATAAAGACAACTAGAGATTAAATAAAAAATTATGAAATTAAGTCTTTATGAGCGAACCTTAAGTCTAAATTTTTAGTGCATTAAAAAAAATGAGCGAGGCAAGTTATTAAAAAAATTAATTTTTATTATAATTTTAAATTAACCCTACAAATTTTCAGAATTTCAGTGGGGGCAATTGCCCTACTGCCCCCACCCTGCCTCCGCCTCTATCCACCACCACCGATACACCAACCCATAAGAGCTGAAGATAAAGATGAAGAAAAACCACCGATACACCAACTCTTACACCACTGATACACCACCACTAATATCAGACCACCACCATCGTTTTTCTGTGGAGATGAAGAAAAATCCTTAGATTTATAAAAATAAAACTTAGATCTGAAAAAAAATTAAAGGGGGGAGCATCACCAATTGAGATGATGGTAGGGTAAGCGTCGGAGAAGGTGAAGAGCTTCACCAAAGAGAGCTTCGCCAGAAGGGAAGTCAGAGCTTTGCAGATTAGGATTCTAGCTTCACCACAGTCGTAGAGAGAGAGAGAGCTTTATTTTTGCTTTATATAGGTGCCAAAAAAATGTCTTATTTTTTGCTTCTGATGAAAGTTGAAGGCTGAACCTCATTAAAGGCCCCCTTTAGCCCCGCGTATTCTCGTTTTTATGTGTTTTCAAAAATATCATTTGTCTTGTTTTCAATATTCACCCTTGTTTTCAAAACAACTTGACTACAAAAAAACATGAACTAAACATATTATTATTTTTTAATTTTAACAAAAACAGAAAATATATATATATATATATATATATATATATATATATATATATATTTAGTTACCAAACGATACCTTGGCGAAAAGGATTGATTTGATAACAACCATGTGGGTGCAATTATAGAGAACCAAAGCACTCCAAGGAAAAGCTTGTAAATGTGATTATCGTGAATTGGGGGCCACTCGTGCAGAAGAAATGATTCTCGTGAATATGTGATTCACACCATAGCCCAATTATGTTCTACACACAAGCCTGTTATTGTCAAGGAACTTAATTATAGAAGGCATCTCTCTAATTAAAGCTATTTAGAATTTCCGCCCATACTAAAATTAACATGTAAAATCATCCACCATGAATTTTGTACAAAATTCAGTTGAATATTTAATTTAACAATTGATGAACTGAATGAATGCAATTTTAATTTTATCCAGTTGTGTAGGGTTAGCTTCAAGCAAATTGTATACTCTAATATGTCTGGTTCGACCCTAGCTTGCGATTCTCAAGTTTAACAAACATATGTGATTATTGGTATACATGTTTGGTTCGACTCTAGTTTATGATTCTCGAGTTTAACAAGCATACAACATAGGTAGGTGTTCTCGTCCTCTAAGTCACATGAGGCAACGTGAATGGTTGACTTGTAGATCGGCCATAATTATTAGGGCTTGTTTGGTATTATTTTTAAGAGGGGTTTAAATTAACTTGTTTAAATTCGGATTTGACCAAAGATAAGATTCAAATAAGGGATTCAATATTCAATATTGTTCATACATATATTTGATATGCGTAGAAATATATGACTATTATGATAATATATTTGTATTTAAATGACTATTGTACCCCTTAATTAATTTAATCTAAACATAAGTATAGATATATGAGAAGTATAAATATCATTTGAATGTGAAACCCCAAACCCACATATGAAACCCCTCCCCCCAAAGGTTTCATGAAACCCATGAACAAGGGTTTCATGACCGTACCATGATCAGGCCGAATTTTTAATTCTAGTCTAAATTTATAGTTACTAAATATGGGTTTAAGGGGTTTAGTTCCCAACCCATGTTCCAAAACTCCCCCAAACCCACATACCAAAAAGACCCTTATACTCTTGGATTAATAATAAGAGCCATAATATATGAATTTAAAAGGCTGATTTGATTAATTATTTCGTTGATTTAATTGTGAATATTAATATTTATTAAGATTTATTATTTATTTTATAATTATGATTGATTAAATTAATATTTTAAATTCAAGCATTTTTCTCATAATAATGCGGCTGCTCGTGAAGAGCCAGCCCCCTTAAAAATAAACCGAATGGACATCTTCTCTTATCATAATTGACCAACCAATATTGTTAATGTAATTTAGAATAGATATAATTATGCAAAAACCAATAATTAAATTTAAAAAATCTTCTTGGACCGCTTCCCTCAAACCAACAAAAAGATAGTGATGTGAATTAAATTTAATAATAAAAAAATTAGAGATTAAAAAACTCGTTCTTTAAACTGTTTAGAGTGTTTCCGAAAAAATCGATTTTTTCTTGAAGCTCTTAAATAAGTCTTATTTTTTAACTTTTTCTTAGTACTAATAAAAACTATTTTTGTACAAAAAATTGATAGAAAAATCGTTCATTAAACTCTGAAATTCAATTAAGTTGATACTTTTTGAACATTTTCATTTCGAATATTTAAATATTTTTTGTCCAAATACTAAATGTTTTTAAATTAAGCCGCCCTGATTGCCGCCCTCTAGTTTTTGTTCCTATTAGACGGCTGAAGGAATTGGTTGACTGGTGGATGAACCTTAACTCAACGAGGAATTCAAACTGCAACTCGGGTTTTATTCAGGTTCCGCTTCATTAATCAAAAAACATATAAACTCAGGTATTTTATGTTAATTCCCAGGTTGAATGTGTTTTATTAAAGGGTAAAATATAGTAACAGTCCCTTCAGCATTGGTTTTGTGTCAGTTTTATTTTTAATCTTTTAATTATGTCAATTTGATCATTCAAATATTTAATTTGCATTACTTTCTTCTAATTGAAAACATAGGTATAAATTGACTAAAGAAAATGATTATGTGCATCTCACGTGACCGCAATTGAGGGACATTTTTCGAAAACATTAGGTACAAAAGGAACACAAATTATAAACAAGAAAAACCAAATTGACACACGTTGCAAACTTGAGTGACCCAATTTATAAATTGGTGATCAAATTGACACAAAAATGTATAATTTGGGAATTAAAAATTATTTTACTCATTATTAAATTCAAATAGAATTTAAATAATCGTGGATGACTTGTCTTTGATCAGACCGAAAAAAAGATTAATCAAGGTACGCGCAAGATGATCCGAACACTCTGACCGTTAAAACCAAAAAAAAAAATCAAATAGAATTCCATTGAATCCAATTGACTCAACTTTCTAACCTGATTACAAAATCAATCTATACCGGATTGGTTTTTCCTTTATTATTTTTTTTTTTTTCGCACAACTCCCTCCTGAAATAGACTTTTTTTTTTTTTTGGAATATTCGAATACATATTGAGGCGTCCGAATCATACCTCCAAAAGCAATTTCTCTATGTGTCTGGTCATACTTCTAGCAGAAGGCAAAACCCTTCTTGACTGGTAGTTGGAACCATGGTTATTATTCAATTTTCTGGATGTCATCATGATGGTAGGGTCTGCCACCGGGGATCATAATCCTTATATTTTCAGAATGGGTACGTCACAATCTTGAAGGAAGGTTTATTGGCTGTGCGCTGCGTTATGGGTGGCAATTGTTCCGTGTTATTTTTGCATTCCGTTATTTTGTGTCGTGTACCTTTTATATGCGTCGAATTTGTGTCAATATTAATATAAAATTATTTAATTTGTTAACAGTTTATATAATATTATTTAAAAAATTATAAAATTTTTATTTTTTGTCTATAATACTAGTTAAATAATTATTTTTTATCTACAGTATCCATTAATCGTATTATTCGTGTCGAATCTTAATTTGACTAATTTATTACTCATGTCAACTAATTGTGTTATTTTTGAGTTTTGTATCGGATTCGTGTTAACGGATAAAATTGACACCTTTATGTGGCGTCCAATAACTTACAAGTCTTCGAATCAAAATTTATCGTATATTTTAAAAGTCAAGAGGATAATTGACGAAAGTTTGACACCTTATAACAAAAAATATATATATATATTTTTATGAATTATTGTGATCTCTTATTTTATTAATTTTTTTTAAAAAATAAATAGTTTGTATATTGCATGAAATAGTGTTTTGACAGATTTTTATTACATGTACACACTCATTACAATTTTTCCTTAATCCCCCTCCCCATATCTTATTCTCTTTGAACATGATTGTGTACATAGTTCTGATTAGTAATTAATAAGAATAATATTACATGAATTTAAAAAATAAAGTTAAAAATTAGACTTGATAATTAAAATTATTGATTTTATTGTAAGTCTTAATATTTATTGGGACTCACTATTTATTTAATGATTAAAATTATCAAATTTAATTTTTAAATTCCCCTGACATTACAGAATTAATAAGGGATGCTACTGTGCGAAACAAAACAAGGTTTTTTCCTTCCGTCTATCTTTTTTTCTGAATGTTGCCTATAAAATCTGAAAGCCGCCCCAAGTCACAGTTGCCTTGCCTCAATTCAAAACTTTGGGGGAGACAAAACCTCTCGCCCACAAACAACCCCCCACCCGTCCCTCTCTCTCTCTCTCTCTCTCTCTCTCTCCGTCATATCGATCTTCAGCCTGGACTTTTCTGTCCACTTTAGTCAGGGTAACCACATCACAAAGGCCTCATTTCAAACCTCTCTCTCTCTCTCTCCGCCATGGGAAGTGACCAGAAGATGAAGATTCATGTGAAGGACTCCACCATGGTCCGCCCTGCAGAACCCACCCCAGCCGAGAGGCTCTGGAACTCGAACCTAGACTTACTGGTGGCGAGAATTCACCTCCTCACCGTCTACTTCTACAGACCAAATGGGTCTGTCAACTTCTTTGATTCTCGTGTTCTGAAGAACGCTCTGAGCAACGTTCTTGTCTCCTTTTACCCCATGGCCGGAAGGTTAGGAAGAGACGAAGGGGGTCGGATTGAGATCAACTGTAATGGAGAGGGTGTGTTGTTTGTTGAAGCCGAAACTGATTCCGCCATTGATGACCTTGGTGATGGCGACTTCACTCCAAGCTTGGAGCTCCGGCGGCTCATTCCAGCTGTTGACTACTCCGGCGACATCTCTTCCTATCCACTGATTGTTTTACAGGTACATGATCTCCTGTCACCTTTTCTTTTCTTTGCTTGGTTAACTTTATTCTTCTTTACATTTTCTTTTCTATTATTTTCTTTTTTTTTTTTTGTGTAAATTTCTTTTTAATCCCCAAATTGGATCATCGCAAGAAATTAAAAACAAATAAAAAGAATTAACACCAATCCTGGTACCGGTACCGAGGTATTAACTAATGGGGGTCGCATTCAAAAGAGTAATATTATAATGATCAAATTTTAAGTCTAAATGACTTGTCAATTGACTCGAGTTTCTTTTATTAGTGTCATGTTCTTTGAATTCTAATAAAAAATTTTAAATAATTAATTATTATGTCATTTGAGTTTTAAATTTGATCCCAAAATTTAACGGGTCTAAGCTTTCAAAATGTCACGTACAGCGGCCAGGATTGAGCAAATCAGAGGAGTACCATATTACAACTTATCCAACACGGCTTCTGGAATAAAACTGAGGGTACTTTTACGAGTAATGGTATTAGGACCTAAAAATTTAATTTAATTTATTATAACTATTGTTGGGTCTATTAAATGTTGAAATTTAATATTAATCTAATAATTTATATTATTATATCAATAAATTAAATTAAAATTTTAAATTCAAATAATATTAGTCTTAGTCTGTATCAGCGATGGTGGTATCCAAAATTATCAACACAGTACAGGTCGAGCCAATAAACTGATCGGTAGGACCACAAGGGTCAAATCTCAGGGGAGAAAATTGTTCATTGGAAAGGACACCCAGCCTCATGGATGCCAATCAATCACGTGATGCCCTCGTTATATTGTCATACAATTTTTGGACCTCCAAAAAGTATTTTAGCGTCTAGCTTTTAATAATTCAAGTCTTACTTTAATTCTTTGTCACATTCTTTAAAGTTATCTACTCTTATGAGTAAAAGGATATTTTTTTAATTTAGCTTAAGTTACCGTGGTATACTGCTGTACTCGAGAGGCGGTAATCCGTACAAATTTTGTCGGCCTATAAAAAATATTAAAAAATTGGGACAAATGATTGAATCTTGTCTTTAATAATTCATTCAAAAGTCTCGGATACAATTTTTTTCCACGGCCCAAGTGCTAGACATCTTTGTTGACATGCTTTAATCCAATTTAAGATACAGTAACTTGTTAATGAGCTCGAAAAAATAGTCCACGCAAGTTTGTACACTCTAGGAAAAAAAAAATGGGTCAAGTTTTCCTCATAAAAAAATATTAAATGTGGAGAGTATAGTTAAAGTATTATATCATATTTAGTGTATCAAAACTAATCTAAAATAAAAAATTTAATTTGATTAATTTAGAATCATTAATTAAAAAATAATAAATCAACTAATTTTTTAGTGTAATAATTAAACTCAGAAATCTTAAATGTTTCACTTACATCTTCCGAGTGTGAACCAATTCCAAAATTGTTCACAAAAAATTCATCATACAGATGTCAAGAATATGAATGATTGAGGATTTTATGAGATCAAATCAATAGTTGAGGGACAAAATAAAATTTAAACCGAAGAAAGTGTAATTAACTCATATTTTATAGTAGCACTTTCTTTGTACACACTTACTTCCTATGTTAAATATCTCAGATGATTCGATATTCATGGCATCAACATCCAAGTTGTATGCTTTCTCAACTTAATAATGATATATATATACATGTTACGTGTAAGTTTTAATCTATTAGACAATCATGTTGAAATTTTGGTCGAGAATTATGGTACATGATAAAGAATGGACTAGTCATATTTGATCCAAAATTCTAGCATGTTGAGAATCGGGTAACAAAAAATTCTGGCCTTTGAAATGGTCGATCCAATTCTCATTGTGGGACTATTTTTACCTAGGTTGATACTAGTTTTAATTGATAACTAGTTTCTGCAAAGTCAATTTGTAGAATCCTCATGGATCCCCGCAAGAAAAGCTTACCCTCTGTTTGGTACGAGGGAATATTGGATGGATGAAAAAATAGACTTTTCTTTGTTTGGTTGGGATAGAAAATAGAGAGTAAAGGAAAATAGGATAGAAAAGGTATACCTCTCCCGCCCACCATAAGTAATTTGTCCAAATTTGGGTGAAAAATGGAAGAAGGAGAAGTGCTGTCAAATAATCACACTTATTAAATTTTTAAATTTATTATAATACCCCTTAAAAGTATTGAGGTCCACTTTTTTTCCCAAGATAAATCAATATAATGGTGAGTATTTTTATTCTATATTTTCTACAACCATAAGGGTATTTATGTAATTTAAAACTTGTAAATTTTTTTTTTATAACTTTTTTTCATACGAATAAAAAATTTATTTTTTTGACTTTTCTATTCCTTCGATCAGAAAAGTAGGAAATATGTCTTTCTTTTCTCAAATGATTGAAAATGCATCTTTCTTCTTTTTTTTCTATTCCTCCAATCAAACATATCTTTAACACCTCCAATCAAGTACAGATATATTTATTTTTTTTTTGGAACAAAGTTGGAGATATTCTTGAACACCTCAAAGTTGCCGTCATGGTCTTGGATAGGTAACAGCCATTGCGGACACGCAACAACTTCTAAATGTCTAGGAATCAATTATAATGCCAGAAGATAATTCTGACTTTTTCGTTATGGTAAGAACCAAAGTCAGAACACAATTTCATAGCCACTTTTTTTTCTTGATATTTAGTGCTCAAAGATACATTCTTTGTTTTTTTATGAGTAAAAATGTTTAAATTAATTTATGTACATTTTAATTAGTTATTTTTTTAATTTGATCAAAGGGAGATTATCTACGTCAGAATTAATTAGGATATTCATGAAAAATAAATTTTTTATAATTTAAAAAATTATCAAAATTCGAATTTTAAGAGGTATGTGTTGTTATCACTACTAACTTCTTTTGTGAAATTTACTTTGTGTTTAGGTAACCTATTTCAAGTGTGGGGGTGTCTCTCTCGGAGCAGGGGTACACCACACTTTATCAGATGGTGTTTCCTCACTTCATTTCATCAACACGTGGTCGGACATGGCACGCGGACTCTCCATCGCCATCCCACCATTCATTGACCGGACCCTCCTCCGTGCCCGGAACCCTCCTAGCCCGGCTTTCGACCATGTAGAATACCACCTGCCTCCTTCCCTAAACACCCACCTCGGAACCCCAGAACCCGAATCAAGTCCTAAGGTTGTTTCTACAACCGTACACAAAATCACACTTGATCAACTCAACAAACTAAAAGCCAAATCCAGAAACGATGGCAACACAAAGGAGTTCAGCAGCTATGCCATACTAGCAGCACATATATGGCGTTGTGCAGGCAAAGCACGGGGCCTCGATCAAGAGCAATTGACAAAGCTATACACTGCCACAGATGGCCGGTCCAGGTTGTGCCCTCCTCTCCCACCTGGCTACCTAGGCAATGTTGTTTTCACCGCCACGCCCATTGCTGTCTCCGGTGATCTTGAATCTGAGACATTGTCAAACTCTGCAAAGAGAATTCATGACGCCTTAACAAGAATGGACAATGAGTATTTGAGATCAGCTCTGGATTACCTGGAGGTGCAGCCTGATATATCAGCTCTCGTTCGAGGGCCAAAGCATTTCGTTAGCCCCAACCTGAACATCAATAGCTGGACTAGGCTGCCTGTGTATGATGCAGATTTCGGGTGGGGGCGACCGATCTTCATGGGACCTGCAAGCATACTATACGAGGGTACAGTGTACATAATGCCAAGCCCAACCAAAGACAGGAGCTTGTCATTGGCTGTGTGCTTGGATGCCGACCACATGCCACTCTTCCAGAAATTCTTATATGACATCTAGAAAGGAATGGCCATTCGGAGTTCACCCTGTGTCGGGCTTCTCACCGTTACTTCAGATAGAGCAGCTTCAATATGTCGACCCAGTAAACAAGAAATACAGTTGTTTCACCCACCGTGAGTTTCCCGAGTTTGAAGCACTCCTACCCCTGAAAGGCTCAACTTCGCCCCTCCAACCACCACCAGAACAAGTGTTTTACCAAATCATTGTGATTTTTGAGTTTTATTTTGTCTCTCTGCCATGGTGTCTAATTTATTTTTTTCCCTAATCTACTTGTATGCATTAAAGTGTGGTTTGATCCGGCGTTAAACGAAAATAAAACCTTGAAAACGTGTCTTTCAAACACGTTTTTATTTAAACATTGATGAGAAATTGAGAAATAAAATTTAAAAATACCATAAAATAAGAATAAAGATAGGACACTGTAATTTGAAAATTGATTCCCAGCACTTTTATTTTGTTCGTCGAGTGACCTTAAAAGCTTATGATATGTCAAAATCACCACAAAACAAAATACCAGTAAGAAGTTCTTCCATACCAAATAATAATCTTAGTAACTCAAGTGATAAATAGTGATAAGTTTTAAATTTAAACATCTTGAACTCAAAATTATAGTATAGAAATGTATTCGTTATGAATTTTTTAATCCCATAGAGGATATACTTTTAACAAAATCGAGTCAGTAGAGAGCATAAATTTCCCGATACCCTGAGTGTAATAACAAGGCCAGTCCATCTAGTAACAGTCACAGTTCTTTCCTAGGCCAAGTCAATCATTCAAAAGAAGCCGAATTCTTCGACAGTACCTTCAGCAGATAGTCTGGCTAAGATTAGTCCTGAGCAGCTTCTGCTACGTACATTTTTTTGAGATAATTCCAACTATCAAAATTGAAATGTTTGAATATAGCCTTATTTTTTGTAAATTAGTTGTATTCCTCTGTCCATAAAAGAGAGCATTGAAAAGTGGATAAAACATCGATTTACAAGTTAGATTATCACACTGTAAAAACCACCCCATCAAATGAAATGTTCACCAAACCATTGTTTTGAGTTTGTGGAGTGAGCAACTCCAGTCGACCTCACAAATGTCACACCCAAGTATAACATTTCACATTTGCTTTCTCTTCGACCGACATCTCAAACGTGTCTCATTGACAATTAAATTTGGCATTATGTCAAATTTTTTATTAAGTATTATTTTATTGATGTAGTCAAAAATATAATAAAATAAATTATTTTAACATATAAATTAGAGTACTAATAATGTCACACCTCCACCCCGGATCACATAGTGTGAGCAACGGACCGGCCACCAAGGCCTTAACCAACCATCCATGTGCATAATTAATACAAAATACAACGGAAGACAAATAATAAATTGATCATTTTCACCGACCTAATGAATATCAGAGAAATAAACTAATTTCATCGACATTATTAATTAATTCATGTAAAACAATAATTAATCCATAAGGTTCACTACTCTAAGCAAAAACAACATTGCTCTCAAAACAATCGAATACTTGTCTCAAAACTATAAAAAAAATATTTATTCCTGAAGATGTACAATAAAATAAATCTTCAATTTTTCTAATTCCTTATCTATCCGAGAACTTACTCCTCCTCCTGATCCTCACCTAAAAAATGTTAAATATTTGGGTGAGCACAAAGGCCCGTGAGTAGCAACCACCTCTAATGAGGTTTGAAAATAAATTTCTTATTTCATATACACAGAAATAAACTTTGTTACATATATAAATACAATAAATTGTACCTCAATCCCTTTCAAATTACCATGTAAATAAAATGATCTCATAATTATAATAACTTTATAAAAGAAAAGACATTTATAGTTCAAAACACTCACACACACATTCAGCCTCAAATACACTTGTCAAATCATGTTTGTTACCACTAATCTAATAACTGACTCCATCTCTTGTCATCACTAGCCTGATGACTGGCCCTGTCTTTTGTTATCACTAACCTGATAACTAGCCCCTATGTGAACATCTCTATACTGACCACACCGGTATACAATCTCGTTACCATTTAGACCTAGTAACTCAGTCCCCTTCTCATAAAACATGATTTCAACTCACACACACACACTAAAACTGTTGTTTTAATCCCATCGCACACAAAATTTCTCTTTCATCACCAAAACCATTTAAGAAATAATATAAAATCATCTTATAAGTTTTGTAAATTCACATGTGTAACAATTCACAATTGCAAAAAATATTTAATTGCAACCCCAAATATCAGCATATATCATATATATATGAAAAATTTACACACACGCACCCACAAGTTTAATATAGAAAATCCTCCCAATAGAAGTAATAAACTACTCACCTTGATTTCCAAAATCTAATTCAAAGCACTCTTTTTCAACCTCAATGCAATCACCACCTAATCCAAAATAACATAAAACAATCAATCTCTTTTTCCTTACTTCGTTGTTTCGCGATTCTGTATTTAATTTTTATACTTTCTACTCATTAATATATACCCAATATATATTTTACATATAAATATCCTTTCTAATATGAGGTAACAGCGTATGAAAGTATTCTGTACTGTTTAGAAAAAAATTTCTAAAGTTTTAGGGTCGAATCATAATTTTTTAAAACTTTTGGGGGTCAAAGTATAATTTTTAAAAAAAAAGAAATCTCTGTTTTTGGACCTGCCATAAATTTTTCAGAATTCTGTTCTTGCAACTTACCGAATAAAAAGGTACTTAAAATTAAGTTTAGAAGAATAAAGTAGTCAAAATAAAACTCCTTGAAATTAAAGGGAAACTTTCTGTATTTTTTGGGATTTGGTTTTCCTCTTCCAGCTGCTGAACCTGAACCATTATACTTCCTTTCCCTTTTTTTTTTTTCTTTCCAACTCATTGATTGAACTCAATCAATTCCAAATAACTATAAACTTAAAGATCAACTTAATAAATTCAATAATCAATAAGGTACCATGAATAAGGTACCATGAGACCTATATATATATATATATATATACACTGACATTATAAATCTTACACTCATTAATTGAATAAGAAAATAAAATTCAAAAAAAAATCATTAATCTATACCCTTGGATGGATTCAAGTCGGTTTCTTTCTTTTTCCTCCTTCTCTCTCTCTCTCTTATATATATATATATATATATAACCCTGGTTGCCTTTCTTTCTTCCTCCTCATTTTTTTTTCTCTTGTCCTATTTTAACTGCCTACATATATACATATAGAAAATAAAAGAAACCCTAAACAAACTCTACAAGTCTTCAAAATTATTAAATACATTAACATCCCTTTTTAAAAAAAATATTACAAATTAATCTAAAAATTAATATTATATATTTTAAATTTGAAATATTACAAATAAGGCGAAGATTTTAACTTTTACATGTTAAAATATTACATAAATCTTCAAATTTAAATTGGAGATGCTCTTACGTTTTTTTTCCTTTGGCAGAATGGTGTGGGCAGGTTGATGTGAGAGACGGAAGAGAGAGAATTTCCAATCACATGCGAGATGGCTAAGATGCCTTATCACTGGTCTCTTATCACTTGGTACCCTGCAAGACTACAACATCACATCACTTAGATATAGACCATTTCGGTTCCCTAATCTTCTGTTTGGTAAAAAAAAAAAAAATTTGAATAATGGAAAAATAGAGAAGAATAAATTTTGCATTCATAGAGGATAAAATTACTCTTTTTCTCTGTTTTTGTTTGGTACCGAGAATGAAAAGTTGGATAAATAAATTTTTTATTATTTAGTATTGAAAGACAAATGAAAGGAAAGAAAACCAACAGAAGTTAAATTTATCATAATACCCTTACAATGAAAATAACCATTGTACCATTTTTATATAAATATAATTTTTTTAATATATGAATCAATTCCATTAATCTTAAGAGATTCAAAATTCTTTTATTTTGTAAAATTAATAAAATGGATCTATATCCAAAAATAATACAGTAACAAATACAACATTGAATTTATGTGATTCATATATTCATTTTTTAATAATAGAACATTTTTGTTAAAATACTAAACATTTAGTTGACTTTGCTTGATCAAATTTCTAGCTATAATTGTAGCAATATCTCTTGGTGATCGACAAAAAATGCTGAATTGGAAATGAAATACATCTAAAAATTAAAGGGCAAAAAAGTTAATTTAAAAAATTATTGTCTTGCCTTCACTATTTTCCTCTACTTTCTGTCCAAATTTGGACTAAAAATATTTTGTGGGCCGAAGGATAGAAGTTTCCTCTCACTTTCCACTCCCTCATACTTTCCTTTGGTACCAAACAATAAAAACCTTTTTTATCCCTTCCATTTTTGTTAAAATACTAAATATTTAGTTGACTTTGCTTGATCAAATTTCTAGATATAATTGTAGCAATATCTCTTGGTGATCGACAAAAAATGTTTGAATTGGAAATGAAATACATCTAAAAATTAAAGGGCAAAAAAGTTAACTTAAAAAATTATTGCCTTGCCTTCACTGTTTTCCTCTACTTTCTGCCCAAATTTGGACTAAAAATATTTTGTGGACCGAAAGGATAGAAGTTTCCTCTCACTTTCCACTCCCGTATACTTTCCTTTGATACCAAACAATAAAAACCTTTTTTATCCCTTCCATTTTTCCTCCCTCACTTTCCTTCCACCCATTTTTCCACCATATCAAATACATTTTTAGTCGGTGGTGTTCATTCAATCAAATCTTTTATAATAACCATGAAAGTTACAATATGATTTATTTTATGAGACCTTACTAGCCATTTTTTCTTTCACACACATACATTCTCCTTTTAGTTATATTTTTGTCCTTATCTTAAATTAAAACATAAATCAAACCAATTATTTACATCCCCTCTCCCTTTCAATCTCACTCTCTATCTTAATTTTACAAGTCGTGACAATAAATTAAGTCTTATCGTTTTATAATTTTAAAAATTTTTTAATTATAAGGTAGTAATATTTTTTTATTGTAGAAGTGTTTTTGTTAATATTAAAATTTTAAATAAAATATTCTTAAATATATTTGTCATTAGTGACAAACACACATATAAAAAAAATTAGATTAAATTTAGATAAATGAACAATAATAAATGTCATTAAATTAGAAAGATTAGGTTAATAAGTCATGTGATCAATTGAAAAAATATGTGTATAAAACTTGAGTGTCAAGTAAGAGATGAGATTCTATTCAAAAAAAAAAAATTAAGAGATGAGAGAAGACAAACAGATATATAGATTTGTTTGTTAAATGGGTGTACTTAGTCCCGATGAAATATGTATATTTATAATTCATATGGATTGTACTATTGAATAGTTGAACGCAAATATTGTAGGTATGTAACTTTTATTTATTTTTGGTAATCAAATGTCAAAATTACCAAAAATAAATAAATAATGTGGCATCATGTTGTAACATTAAGCATATTTACTATGACACCACCTTGTAATGGTTCATGCAAGATTTTTGTCAAATTAAAATAAAATGCATAAAATTTGGATTAACACATATATTACTTTTAATTTTTGTATGTCATCTAGTTATTAATCCTTAATTCCACAGATTAAAACTCGACAATGAAGGACACGCAGAGACAACGATCTTGTGCATTCAAAAGTCTAAGTAAAGTAAAAGGCCTAAAATATTACAAAATCTTCAAAAAAAGTCTAAGGCCATGTTTGGATGGCGATAATATTGAGTGGGAATGGACATCTAATTACCAAGAAAAGCAATTCCTAGGTTTCAAAGGTCATCAGAATCTCATATCAAATGTTTGGTCAGCGTCAATAATCTTGTATGAGATTCAAAAAACCATTCCCAAGTTCGTGCCAATCTAGTATGGACTGACATTTAGGGTGCGTCTGGAAGACAGTAATCTTAATTGGGAATGAATATCTCATTCCTAATAATGAAATACTCGGGTTTCGGTTATCTTAGTAATATCATATTTAGTATTTAGTTATTGTCAATAATCTATTGTAGGAATTAAAGTCATTGACAAATTATTTTAGGAAATAACTTAATTTTAAAAATGAGATTAATTTTATAGAGAAGGTTCATTTTGAGATTTTTATTCATTTATAGAATACTCAATAAGTAGAGATTACCACCATTGGTCATAGGTTTAAGATACCCACCATTACTGAGAATTGGATTGTGATAGAAATCTTATTTTTGAGTCAAACTACTAAATTACTGACTATCCAAACATGATAATTTAGAATTTAAAAATAAGAATCTCATTCTCAATCAAGATTATCGTCATCGTCATTTAAATAGAACCTAAAAGTAATAATTTCAAACCTCAAAAGTCGTAATTTCTCAAATTTCTTCCACTCTCTTTTCCTCCAGACTCACCGCCCCTCTTCAAGTTTTCTCTCCCTCCCACTCTCAAAAGCAGAAACTAAGAAGCCATGCATAAACAATTTTAGAAGTGAAGCTGCGCAGGGAAAATAATTTTGACAAACTTAATCCAGCAAACACCATTGTTTTACAAGCAACAATGCACTTTAGGCAATCCAGTACATAATATATATATCACAAATAGAACACTTTATACAAATGATTTATGAAAACAGTACATTACTACTCCAACCTCCTCAATGAACGATTTAGAGCCAGGTATTAACAAGACGTTCACCCAGGAGGCCAAGATTAATCAAATCCCAATAAACTTATTAACTTAAGCAAGCATCATTTCGCCGTCTTCCCTTTTCCCCATTTTAAACATCTGTCTGGAATCTCTCATCATACAACCTCTTAGCGGCCATACCTGTCAGGGTGAAAGAATAACCTAGGGAGGTAGAAACTGGGGTGCTTGATAGTAGCCAAACCACTCAAATTAGATGAGGCGTTTGCAACGTCACTACTAGTCACGTTCGTACAACCAGATAGATCCACATATTTGAGATTCGGACATCCCTCAGAAATTAAAGCAAGTCCTTTGCCTGTTAACTTTGAGAACCTAAGTTCAAGATTTAGCAGATGAGGCATGAATTTTCCAATTGCAGCAGCTTCTGAATCTCCATCTTGAGGATAGGCATTCAGATATTCATTTGGGACAATTCCTTCATGATACGAAGGATTCCACCAATTCATCAGGTTCCTTTTCAGAATTTTGAGGTTAGGGCAGTGCCTTCCAATCACAGCCAAAGATTCATGAGATATTCCATAGCAGTAGCTAATGTTAAGTTCCTCAAGCTTGGGGCATCCAGAAGCCATCTCATCCATGCATTCATCACTTACATTGGGGCAGCTCTTAATTGATAGGATTTGAAGGTTTGGGCACCTGTACAATCAGGTAGCCAAATACATTTTGATCATTAAATAGTAACCAACCATAGTAAAATTCTTATAGAAATCAGAAAAGGAAAAAAAAATAAAAAAAAGATCAGAAGAGTCATCTTAATCTCAACGACTTCATCGATCTTATAACAATCAGATAGTACCCTTTCGAGTCAGCGGTTGGCCACCATGGCTTGATCTGGATTAGATCATGTCACTTGACAAATGTGGTTAGCCCTTAGGGGGTGTAGAAAGGAATTGAACTTGAAACCTCTGAATTCTCAAAGGTTAGCTCTTAGAAGGCAAAAAACAAAGTATTCATTTTCTAAATCAGAAATTACTTAACAGCCAACAAAATTTTACGCCTTAAGAGGAAAACAGGACAAAGCAAATTTTATCAATCAAGCCTAACAAAAACGTACTACAATCAACCGCAAAAAATCAAACATGAAAATGGCAATTGAACTTCAACAAGACTTTGTTGAGTTGAGTTGAGTTGTGGATCTGAAAAAAGCAATTAGAAAAATCTAATTCAATCATCCAAGACTAAATCTACCATACAATAAACAATTGAAAAACTCAAGCCTTGAATAACATAAAGAAAAGGATAACCCATTTTTCAATCATCCAAAAACTAACCCAAACCATACAACAATCAATCGCAAAGTCCACACCTTTAAAAGCAATCAAAACAAAATAAACACTTGACGTCCAAATCCTAATGACCTATTAATTACAAGAATTCAACCTTGGAAATGCATGTGAGAGCAAACCCCATCTCCAATAATCCAAAACCTAACTGTACCACAAAAGAGTAATTCAAAAAATTCAAATGTGAAAAAACTTCAAAAAAAAAAACCTATTAATCAAAAAATTCGATCAGCAAAATAGTAATAAAAACAAACTGTATTTTCAAAATCTTAAAAACAAACAAAATCAGACCCAAACCAACACAGCAAAAATTAGCCATAAATTCTAAAAGTAATCTCATACAAAACAATGATTTTAATTAGGAATCGATATCTCATTCCCACTAAGACCTCGGTTTCATTTATCTGGCCGGTGTTAATAATTTAGCAAGGGGACTAAATATCTTTTTTAATGTTATTTTAAAAATGCTACACAATTCAAATGAAACCCAAAAAGTACAACTTAAATGCATATCATCCCTTGGATTGGATTAGTGTTCTCTCAACACTCACCTAAAGGACAATATGCATGCAAGTTATAAGTTTTTAAATTTCATTTGAGTGGTCCGGCATTACTCTTCAGGAAGAGAGTCTGATTCAAGGAATGAAGTTAATTTAGGAAATAAACTTGATTTATGAATTTTATTCTTGTTTAGAATTACCCAATCTAGGTAGATAACTAGATATGATATCCAACCTCATTGGGAATTCGATTACAATTTTATTCTCCGATAGGATTACCCTGCAGTTGACTATCAAAAAATTAGATTAGGGGTTGCATTACGGAATAGTTGATTATCCAAATATGGTAATCTAAAAATTTAGAAATATAATTGTCATTCTCGATTATCATCATCCAAATGGAGCCCACCTTACTTGAACCAGTCAGAAGAAATTCAAACTTGAAAAATAAAATCATACCACAAGTTATTTTCGATTATTCAAAAGTAACCCAACCCATCAAAAATTCAGTAAAAATATCCCAGTGACCCAAAAATATCAAACAATTAATTAACAATCAAACCCTAATACTAGAAAATTTTAATATATACCTTTCAGCAACCAGAGAGAGAGAGCGATCAGAGCAATGCCTGACACGAAGTTCCACCAGACACCCATCGCTCCAAACGACGACGGATCGCAACATAGCGTCGATTTTTTGCTCGAATTCCCAGGTCCACCAGGTGGGTGACTCAGCATCCGGGTCGAAGTAGGTTTCGAGGTCAAAGACCGAGTTAAGAACCGGGTCTTTGATGGCGTGAAGCCACGGTTTGCAGACCAATATGGCTGTTCGCCATCGGTCTTCGAGAGAGAGGCGTAACAGGATATTGATTAGGCACTCGTGAGTCAAATCGGCCCAGTTGGAGCTGAGAAACGAGTTCGACACGTTTCTTCCTCCTCCTTTGTCATCCATTTCACCGGCAAGTTTGGAATGTGCTTTGGTGCTCTGCTCTTTTTATGCACTTTTTTAATTTAACTCTCAGCTCATTTAATTAGGGGATAAGATCAAAAAAAACAGGTGGGAATGCAATTAAGGATCATGTGAATTACAATTTGGATCCTCTAAATCTTAGATTTTGTCAATTGGATTTCCTTAATCATAAATGTCAGATTTTATAATTTCATTACACCCTTTAATACTTTTGTCTACATCCCACCATAACCTAATTCTGGCCGACATACAAAGTGAATTTTAATCCAAATTATCCACACAAAAATCTTCTTTCGTAAGCTTAAAGAGGAGGTACGTTGCTAAATTTGTAAAAATTTTACGATGAACGATTGAAAATGACTGAAATTGATATAATTTGAGAATGAATATTCAAACCTATTCAATCATAATGCACCAATTTCTCATCATTCATCTTCTTAACCCACATATCTAGTTCAACTAGAATCAAATCACTTCAAGCAAAACACTTGTGGATAATCATTAATGTGGCATCCCTTTGGGACGAGTGCAATTTCTTAGGTTATATCGAGAGGAATTTATACTTCAAAAATACTCTAGTACTGATGTAAATGACTTATTTTTTATTTGATCAAAAAAGTAATTAATCGAAGTACACGTAAGTTGACCTAAATATTCTTAAACTAAAAAAAATGTAATAATCATTAATGTGGCAAGTTTAAAGTTTTTTTTACTTTAATGTTTCTCAAAATTTATTGTACTTGTGAATATACAAGCCTATATTGTTAAAATCCCACCAAAAATATATTTAGATTAAACTAAATTATCTTTTTAATCAATTACCTTCTATTATAAAAATAATTAAAAAAAAGTGTCATATTAGGAAGGAGAAGAAGCTGGATTTCAGAGGGTTCACCACGGCTTGCTTATTGTACCCCATTATCGAATTTGATAAGTAAATATCTTGACTTTCGATGGATTTTGATGATTGAAACTAAGGGTCGAGTAAGGATGGGAATTGTATTGTGTCATATCGTGTCGTGTTGTCATAGATTCGGGTTTAAAATATTTTAACTCAAACACGACATGTAAGTCAAAAGAATCAAGCCATCCGGACATGAACACAATTTCTTGTTAAACACGACTAACTCGACATGACCCGTAATACAAGATTTACACATATCGTATCCGGGTAAACATGACCCAATCTGCCTAACATGACCCGCCCAACGCGACCCAACAATTCAACAAATATTCCATATTGAACATCACAACAACATTCATTATTTCAAAAGCCAGATTAGAAGCTTAACAATATTAATTATTTCAAAAGCTGGAGGCCAGATCAAAGCTTAACAATATTATTAATTATTTCAAAAGGCAGAAGCCAGATCAGAAGCTTAACAACATTAATTATTTCAGAAGCCATATCAGGACCTTAACAACATTAATTATTTCAAAAGCCAGCACTCAGATCAGAATCTTAACAAGATGTTGTTAACAATACTTTAAAAAATATAGATCTAGTGAAAAAAATGTTAATGAAATCTCTAAATATAGATCTAATGTTGTTAACAATACTTTAAGAATTGAGTTTTGGTTATGGAACTAAATTAGAGTTAGGGTTTTGTTTTGTAGATCTATGTTTCTATTTTGTTATGGATCTAAATTAGAGTTTTTGGTTAAAGTATGAATTACAATTGGGTGTGAGTCATGAGATCGTCAGAAGGCATGTGAGAGAGAGAGAAAAAAAAAACGATAAAGATAACTAAATCAGTTCACAGTTGCATAGACAGTAACAATAAGTCAATAACATACACATAGAGAGAGACAGAGTGAGAGCTGACCTAAAGTCTGAAGGAGTGAGAAGGGTGAGTCTTTCACTTGGTTGCCCAGGAGGAAGAGAGAGGCATAAAACTATGACTGTTAATCGAGTCAAGTATGTCGAGTTCGTTTTTGTAAACGAGGGTAAAAAATTATTCAAGCTTGGCTTGTTTAGAAAATAAGTCGAGCTTGAATCAAACTCGAATCAAAATTTGTGAACTCAAACCGAACTTTTTAGACTCATTTTTTAAATGAGTCTAAAAATTGTTCACACTCAGCTCATTTAAAATAAGAGGCAGGCCTGAACCGAGTTAGACTCAATTATCAGCCTTATTGGCAGCAACGAAAATGAAAAAATGAGAAAGTAAAATTGGGGGTGAGTTTTAGGGTTAGGATTAATTTATATGGTGGCAGGTCAATCGGGTTTGTGTCAGGATTTGTGTCAACTCGATTAGTCAATGGAGTAAATTTCATGTTATAAAAATTGACCTCAAACACGACCCATTAATAATTTGTGTCCATGGATCATATCATATATGGATTTATGTCAAAAAGAACCCGGCCCATTAAATTCGTATCGTGTTATCATGTTTTGTCGAAATTTACCACCCTTAATTGGCAGTGGACAACAACCCAACCTGGTATCCAGGTGGCATGACGGGTCATGAGAACCCAACCCAGTCCACCTTATAGTGGCCTGTTGACAGTCCATGAAGCCAATAAATAATGTCACAACTAATCAATTACCCGTGTTGGCCCAATTGATAGACCCAACAAAGTGGTTGGCCGAGCTGAGCACTAACAATTTAACACCATTCTATTTGCATAAAATACAATAACAGTGAGAGAGTTCATGTAAAAACAATAATCCGAATTATTTTGTTTGGATGATTTATTGTATAATTAATTATTGTCCGTATTGAAGATACGGAGTAATAAAAAAATGATCAACAATAAACATATTTATATTTACATTAAAAATCAAATTACAAACATAGAGAAGAAAAAAAAAAATTAAGCACCAACTGTAATAAGGGTGAGCAATAATAGTGGTGGTGGACGGCAGTGGTGAAGGTGGGAGATGGTAATGGTTATGGTGGCTGGCGACGATCGTGATAATGGTGGTAGTTGATTTTTGTCTGACGATGGTGTTAGTGGCAGTCATAGGTGATAGCTATAATGGTGGTGGGTGTAGGTGGTAGTGGGCGACGGTGATATGGTTGTTGTAGTGGTAATGGTGTTGGGCAATGACGATAGTGGTGGTGGACAACAATGGGTGTTTATGGATAATAGTGTGATGGATGATAACGAATGACGGCGATAATGGTGGTGGTGGTAAATGTAATGGGGGTGAATGATAGTGGGTGGGCGATGACAGGTGGTGCTCGTAAATGTGGTGGGGGTAGGTGACAATGGCTGACAGCGATGATGAGCGATGACAAGTAGTGGTAGGTTGTGGTAGTGGTGGCGATAGATGGTGGATGGTAGCAGTGGATTATAATGGTAGCAATTAACAGTGATAGCAATCAGTGGTGGGTTGCAATGATGGTAGAGGGTGATGATGGGGTAGGGCTGGTGGTAGTGCAGTGATGACTATGGTGGTGATGGGATGACAATGATTATAATGGTTGAAGGGTAACGACAGTGGTGATGGTAGTGATGATCGTCATGAGATGATGGTGGGGCGATGAAAGTGGTCGTGGTAGGAGTGATGGTAGGACAGTGACGCTGATAGTAGGGTGGCAGCAACAGTGGTGGTGGTGACATAGGTGTGATGTTGGGACAGTGACGATAGTGATAAGGTGATAACAACGGTGGTGATGGTGACAATGGTGGGGCGGCGGTGGTAGTTTGTGTGGCAAGGGTAACGATAGTAATGGTAATAGTAGTGGTGGGGGTGGTGGTGATGGTTATTGTTGTGGTGGAAGGGTGACACCGGTGGTGGTAGTGATGGTAATGGTAATAGTAGTGACAATGGTGGAGCTGTGGGTGGTGGTGATAGTGATGGTGAAAGAGTTGTTTTAAACACTATTTTTAAAAAAAAATATTCATGAAAATTTATAAATCGTAAAATTACTTTTAAAAATCACCATAAACACACCTTTATGACCTATTTTTTCTATTAAATTTAAAGTGTTAATATTAGTTGTCGAATTAACTTTACTGTAAAATATAAAGAGATATCAACTGCAAAAAGTAAAAAATACTTTATTTATTTTTTGAGATTTGAATAATATTATACTTTATTATACAGATTTTAATTTTAATTTTTTAACTACAATACATCTACTAATTTACATTTACTTTTATTAACTATAGTAAACTGTTTACCCACAATAAATATTTTATCGTTCACTCATAGTTTGATCAGGATAAAAATAAAATAAAAATAAAAATAAAAAGTGACTAAGGACTCACTTATATACAAACAGTACCACTTGAACTTACCGTAAGTGAGCACAAGAAGGAAAATGAATAAGAAATATATTAAAAGTAATCTCATTCCACAAAATCTCAATAACAGCAACCGCAACAACACTTAAAAAATTTAATAATAAATTACAACCAGTTCCAAAGCTGAAATCTAGTCTAAGCTTCACTCTCCAATAACCATACTACAGAACTTCAATCCGACCATTAAGTATTTGCAAAATTTAAGCTCAGGCACTCATAAAAACTCATGAATTAAACGCTTGGGAAGTTAGAAGACATACTGGTAGTCCACGCAGCGTATTGTAAAATCCTCGTCCATTTCCGTAATATTTCAGAGCGCTAATAATCTTCATAGATATTGAATGATATAGTCTCCAAATAAAAAGTAAACTATAATACCAAATCTTTAAACATAGCGAGTGTTTGATATTAAGCTCAACATGTCAACTTACTATACACAACTATGATATAACTTAGTCATAGGCTTGTTACAATCTACAAATGTACGTCACACTCACTACAATTTACATGTCTAAACAACATTATTCAACACTCAAAATAAAAACCCTAAAAACTAGTAATTAAAACTTTCACGAACTTCTCTCTCTTCTCTCACTCTCCTCCAACCAAGTTTTCTTCACTTTTATACCTCCTAGCAACTGAGTCAACACCTCCCAAGCAACTGGGTGTGGCTCATGCAGCAGAGAAGCTTCCACAGTTGCCAGCAAGCACCATAGGAGGGGCTTGTCACCACCAATGGCA